AATAGAAAAAACTGAACTGGTTATTTGAATAAAAAATCATGAGTGCAATAAGTTTAATTTAAATTTTCGTATTTTTAAAAAATGTTAAAAAAGGGCTCGAAATAATAGATTTTCTCACAAAAGAAGGGAACTTGAAAAAAAAAAGGGAAAAAAGTCGGTTCCGTAGACAGGACGCGAACCAGGGCACTACGATTTCGCGACAGCCCGATATCCACTTGAGCTATTACGATCATTAATATTGTGTCAAAATTCACCTTCTTATATTGTAGCATTTTTTCATTGCCTTAAAACACGGACAAAACGACATTTTCTAAAAATGAATCCTAGCTAGATCGATTTATTGCCCCCGAAAAGCCCTGGATACTAAATTTTATGAAAATCGTTGGAGCCGTTTCCGAGATTACTACTAATATTAATTTACTATTAATATTAATAAATCCTAAGGTCAGACCTTTTAAGTGGCGGATATTCATTTGGTAACACTTTCGTTTTCGTATGTTCAGCTGTATGTTTACTGTTCGAGAGTATCGAGCCGACAAAACTTGCACCTCCTGATGAAAAATAATTAATCATAGGTACTTTAATCTTCCAATTTTCTACGGAGTGGGCAACTTCCAAGTACCTACCTACGTGCTTAAATCAGCCATTTTTTCGGCCAATTATTTTTACTCTTCCAAAGTTAAAGATGCGTTGATAAGTTAGTGTTAAACAAGCAACCTACTTTAGGTCTGTGGGTACTAATGTAATGGTGTATTTTATGTGTCACGACCTAAGCAATTTGAACTCCTCAAAAAATGTTATTGTTTCCTGACCTCTAAGCGCAAAAACCTAGTGTAACAATAGTAAAACTTATAATTTACTGGAATATAAGGGATTAATTAAAAAATAATTATTTCCAAAGTGGCCGCCATCCGTACTTTAATCTCTAATGCCACGAAACTATGGATTTACGCAGTCTAACTAATGCTAGCTCTAAAACTTTTTTGGGAGACTCAATGTTTGAGTAACCATTTGAGCAGTTGCCTCTAGTACTTACTAACGGGTTCACTGTTGGACTGGATAACGGTTAGTCTTCAGCTCTTACGAATTCCGGAATATAGTTCTCAAGGCAGGTATGAGTTGTTCGTGCCTTGTGACCAGTAGTAGTGTTGATAGAAAGTCTATGGTATATTTTAAAAAGTGTATCACAGAGAGGCTTCATTACCTACACGATTCAAGGCAGTCACTTAAACATTGACCGTAGTTATTACTCTTGTTTCACAAAAATGACTCCTCGTGACTCCATTCAACCCCTGCCAAAACAATGCTCATGTAGAATAATGACCAGGACGAAGTTTTTCATTCAGAGCCGTCAGCGTACACTTTATCATATTTCTTATTTCTTTATTCAATATTTTTAATTTTGAGATTTCTCAAAATTTACTCGTCCGAATCAGTTCATATTATTACCAAACCTCTTCCACATTGAGATCTTTAGAACCGCGCAAACCGCATCTCAATCGATCAAGACGTTCATCCATCCGAAACGGACGTCCACGTGAAATTAGTCAGAAAAGCTTCCTGGGATCTGAAAACGTCGAGATCTGATGAAAACTCGATTTTCGAAAATCGGAGTGAAACCAATAACTTCCCTATTTTTGAAAATGTTAAATTATCTTGGCGGGAAGTTAAAAAAAATAAACATTTTATTTTTAGTGTTTATTTCTCCCGACAACAACCCACAAAATCCCGATATTTTCAAAATTTGCCCAGATATTTTGGTCTTCCCATCTAGCAAACCTAATTCCAACGGTGGATATGGTTCCATATCCAATCAAAATTTCGTCGACGGACCTATAGACTAATGATTAGCCTTGGCCTCGAGTGAGAAATCTTCTATTTTCTGAGAGATCTTTATGACTTTTAAACATATTTTGATAAAATTTTTAATATTTCTAAGAACTGAACTGAACAAGATTCACCAATCTTAAGGTCACAAAACACTTTCTTTCTCACTTAAACTAATTTGTAAACTCCTTAAATCGCTACGAACTGAAATTTGTTTAGCAAAGTATAGTTTACTAAACAAAAAAAAACGGCACGGAGAAAGGGACAAACAATCACACCGCTCTGTCTCATTTCTATGCAAGACGTGTGCATAAATTTATCTTTTACGTGTGCGAATGCGAAAGAAGGCGTCAATTTATCTATAGGTTTCTCTTTCTACGCAAAATTTGGCCGCGGAGGGAAAGAGCGGCGCTTCGCAATACCGATACTCCTCTCCCCCGCGGCAACATCCACACATCAACGGCGCGGTCCCGCTAGAGCCGTGGAGGATAGGATGAGTGGCGCATCGCCGTATCAACATTCCTGTTTCCCCGCAGTCTAAAAACACACATCCGAATCAAGCTCGCCAAGTCCATTCGGAGTCCGGTGAGAGACCAAACCACCGCTACTAATCCCCCCATCTACGCCAAGGTAGGATGATGATCGGAAGGGGGCGAAGAGAAGGCGCTTGTGTTTGGTTCAACAGTCCCCCAGACTGGTTTGACATCTATAAAGGTCTGACTGATTGATTTATGTAGTATTCCCATTGCTGTCCAATTTATGTTGGACAGTTGTGATAAAACTTTAAAAGATGAAGAATGTGGGTTAAAGACGGGTGAGATAGCCATCAAATACGTTTGCAAATCGTTTGAAAATCAAATCGGTCGCGAGGCGAGACAATCAAGTCATTAGCGTCATCGGCGGGCGAAGATGTGGGGAGAGTGACAAAGCATAATATTTAGGCTGCAGAAGTAAATTTCAGAGACGGCAAGGGACGCCCTATCCATAGACGGAAGTTTAACAAAACTGCGATATATTTAAGATGGGCTACGTTAAGAGTACCCTTAAAAAAACACAACCCAAAACAAAATGAAAATATGACAACCTAGCCTCCGATAGCTATAAATTTTATTTATACCAGAAAGCAGACCAATGACGAGCTTAAGAATTTGATGCATAGTTATATGTGTATGTAAAAGTGTTTTTGTTTCTTGTTCTTTGTGCTAAATAGAAGTCCTAAATCTGCCTAACCCTCTGGATGACTGTTTATTTATTTATTTTATTCTTTATTGCACCAAGGATTTTGTACAAAAGGCGAGCTTAATGCTATATGGCATTCTCTACCAGCTAACCTTGGGTAGAACAGAGAGTAAGTTATGGGCAGTAAAGTTGTCATGATCACATTCAATTCAAAAATGTACATGCTACACATACATAAAATCAGGCAATTTGTTCCAGAGGGAGATGGAAGTTAATGTGAAAATATTTGACATAAACCCAGAATGGTGGAGAGGAGTAGACAGTAATAAATTGTGTGAAGATCGGAGATTGAGAGAATGAGTGTCACTACGGAATTGGAATCTTTCTTTTAGGTAAAGGGGTGAGTAAGAATCATTAAGAACTGAAAACAGAGCGGACAGCATTCGAAAATCTCTGCGCTGGCGTATAGTCAACCACTTTAATTGGGAGCGAAATTCTGATACGTGATCGTATTTGCGCAGGCCAAAGATGAATCGTATGCAGTAGTTAAGTAACCTGTCCAACCTGCTTAGCAGCTCCTGAGAGATATTAGAAAGACAAACATCGGCATAGTCAAATAATAGAAGAATTAGAGATTGGATGAGTAGAAGCTTAGTCGAAGGAGGCAGAAAGAACTTAAGACAATAGATGAAACGAAGTATGCCTGTGACTACGACAAATCTCGGACACCTGTAACCTCCAACTAAGGGTCGGGTCAATAACTAAACCCAGATCCTTGACACTAGTGCGGAAAGGAATTACACAGTTTTCGTAGCGAATGGATGGTAGATCAGGTATGTTAAGTTGTGACACCAATCGACGACTACCAATGATAATAGACTGGCATTTACTGGGATTTACCGTTATACCAAATCGCTGTGACCAGTCTGAAATGCGTTGTAAATCCTGATTAATAGCTGCAATAGCGGTAGCAATTTCAACTGAGGACACTTGTGAGCATAACTGAAGATCGTCAGCATAGAGGTGGTAAGAACATTGAAGGTGGGTAGTTAGAAGATTGATAAACAACAAAAACAAGAGAGGAGAGAGAATGCCGCCTTGCGGTACACCTAGATATAGATCGCACCAGTCGGAACAGCCTGCTGGTGACCGCGAAGAGGAAAACCAGTTCAGTACTGGCGAGGAGAAGTTTAGGCGTGAAAGTAATCTAAGGAGTAAGTCGTGATCGACACAATTAAATGCGTTTTAAAAGTCAATAAGGACCAGAATAGTCAAACATGACCTCTCCATGTCCTCTCTAAAATCTTCTGTAACTTGAAGTAACGCTGTGGTGGTACTATGTCCCGGGCGGAAGCCAGATTGATATGTACTAAGGTAGTTGCATTTCGAAATGAAAGAGGTGACTTGTTTGTGTACCAATGATTCAAGGGCTTTGGAAAGAAACGGCAGTATAGAAATAGATCTAAAATGGGAGGGTAGGGATGGATTGGGTACTTTAGCAAGAGGCAAGATAAAAGCTTTTAGCCATAACTTGGTTAAAATACCAGTAGACAGGGAGAAATTGATGATGTGAGTGAGAACTGGAGTAATAATATAGAGTATGAGAAGTATCATAGATCTACTCACCTCAGCATAGCCGGTTGCGGAAGATTTTATTGAAAGTATGGCTTTTCTAGTATCATCATCAGTCACTGAACTGAAGTCGAAAGAATTACATGATAACAAAGGCATGGAATTAAGTTCCTGGAGAGTCGTAGCTTTGGTGGACAAATGCAGACGTGATGCAGAAGAGAAGTGTATGTTCAAGTCATTGAGTGAAATATTTGGGATTAGAGAATTGGAATGTGATTTTCCAAATCCCAGGGATTTAAGGAACTTCCATATATCTGTTTACGTTATAAGCTTTAAAATTAAATCAAACCTATTAAAGTTATTGCTTTTATCTATTTGTTTATCATTTCATGTGGATTAACAAAAACAAATTGTATTTTTATTTAATTATTATAATCATAGTCATTTACAGATAAATAAGTCATTTCTCTTGTTAACTGTGCCCACTTAACAGTGGTTTTCTCTAAATCCAATTTTAAATGTTTCTTAATATAATAATTTGCTTTTTGTATGACCAGCCTATTAAACTGATGAACATGAGGGTGATTAACATATTCCTCTACTTCCATCCATTTGCAATCTTTGACTTCTCTATGTGACAATATAATTTTTTCTGAAAGAGCCTTCATCATGAGAAGTATATATATATCAGAATTACCAAACATCATATTGTGCTGATGTCTGAATGTAAGCAAAGACAGAAATGATGTATTAACCCCTGTCTCTTCTTTCACTTCTCTTTTAGCTGCATCTATAATATCTTCACCTGTAATTAAATTAATTATTATTATTATTGTAATATAATTACACCTGTAATATTATTAAAAATCTTCAATAATTACATTCTTTCAAAATAAGCAGTTACAAATCCATCTAACTAATACAACCCATAAAAGTACACTGTTGAAAATAGGCTTATTCCATAGATAGCCTCATAGGGGGATTTCAACCATGTAGTGGCAGTATTATCCACTAGCCCGTATCATCTGGTGGATGTTATGAGGGGCAACAGAGGGGAACTGACACAGGAGATGGGCAGCAGCATTTTCTTGTTAAGAACTCATAATTATTTAAAAAACTTCATTTGCAAACCCACCTAAAAGTGTGGCAACTATTTCAAAATCCCCATAATTAGGAATGAGTGTATAAAATATTACAATAATATATCAAATAAAAATAGTGAGGGTAGATCTCTAAGTCTCGACTTGTTTAAGCAGTATAAATCAGTCATTCTGCAAGCTTTATTCAGCCAGTTCATTGTTGCAGTTATTTTAAGGTTGTGTTGCAGAGGGACTGTGTGTGTCACATATGTTGCTTGGCACAGTTCAGTAAATTCAATGTTATGTGTTCTATTTACTTGTAACTGCTTACTGTCTGCCATTAAAGTATAGCATAAAATTGTTACCAAAAAAAATCCTTTTGTTAAATTATTGTAATTTTAGACTATTGAAATCTAACTACACCCTATGTAGTTGGATTTCAATAGTCTAAAATCATAGGATCTGACTAAACATTTTACGTGATCACTGTAAAAGTATACTCTGTATTAGCAAATAAAAAAACTAACTTGGATAACTAACTTTAGAGATAAGAAAAAGAAACATTTATTTGAAGCTACAAGACATAATATACAATATTAAATCACAGTATATTTATACATTATTAATATTGATGCAACAAATAGCCACCTAATTTGGCATTATAAAACTAGAGTAGAATAACCAGCATGCTGATATCTACCAGTGCCCTTATCAAAACACATAAGCTGAGCCTAAGCATGAGTTAATTTTATGAGACATATTAAATATGTCTCATAAAATTAACTTTAAATTTTAAAGAATATTAAAAATTGAAGAAATAGTAAATAAGAAGAAGAAAAAATATGTGTGGCACTCGGGGACTGCCGCGGTAATGCTATTGCATAGCATTTTTATCAACTTATGCAATTATAATTATTTATTTATTTTATTTATTCAGTTTTTTTTTTCTTTGATATTAATTCCAGTTTTTTTTTAATATTAATTCAAGTTACACTTTTTGAGCGTGGTGACCGATAAGAAAATGTTTTTTTTTTTTAATTGATTAAATGAGAAGTTAATATTGTTTAAAATGTTTTTATTATCTTACAACAGATGTAAGTTATTCAGGAATTTTTATCATTGAAACTATATGTTTATTGTAATTAACAAGTTCTTCCGACAAACAATAATTTTCTATAAAGTCTGTGTTTATTAAATACTCAAAATTTAGGAAAGTTGCTAGCATGACGACGACTCATATAAATCCAAAGATCCTTCTTGCACTAAACTATAAAATTGTTTAAAATATTTTTATTATCTTACAATACATGCAACTAGTCTACACGCATACATTTAGTAGCACGCACACAAACACCGTGCCGAAGTCTGCCGAACTTAAACGATATTAGACAATGTTAGGTTTTCGGGCCTTAGGTTTTTTCTGTTACAGAATTTCTTGATATCGGTCGCCGCGCTCATAGCTTGCGATAAAAGCTATGCAATAGTTTAAAAAGGAAACAATATTGTGAATGGCATCTTTACAGAAATACTTTTACGATGTCATTATGTAAAAACTTACCTCTTTCTACATAGCCACCTGGAAGTTTCCAATGAGGATATTCATAATGTTTTTCCGATATAGCCAAAAGTTGATTTTTACTATTGAACACCAAAGCTCCAACTCCCAGATTTGTATGACTTGCTGGTGGCAGATTCGGCTCCGAATCATTGGGTAGCCATTTATACATCATCACGAAGTTATCTCTAGCATGATGAAAATTAAACCCTTTCTATGAATACCAAGCCTTTGTTAAAATAACACATCAATTCATATTAGAATGACTGAGAAAATAACATTCAAAAAAGTTTTTAGATTGTTTATAAAAGCAATGACTTACATCTGCTAAAACTGGAACAAAATGGGCATCTTTAATATTAACTTTAAACCAAATGCACCGTTTTCTTTCTGATGCCCATTTTCCTATAGAGGCTAGAAACAAGAACATGATAATGATATGTCAATTATGAAACAGTTTAAATTTTGTACATAAAATTATTAAATTGTTCGTTGAAGTATACAAAGTCTGTTATCTAACCTTCAAGTCTTTGAGTAAAACAAGTTTTATCAAAATTTTCTTTATCAGTATTAATAGTAACACCATTGAATCTGTCTTTTTCTCCTACAAAAAACTGATGAGGTTCATATGTTCGTAGCCTGCTTGAATAACTACAAGAAGTTATCAATAATTTTCTGAAACAACAAATATTGGGAGAATTGGTTTTTATTCTAAGTATAAGTTAATAAGTAGGTACTTATTATTATGCTATTTGCAAGTCACCTTTAGCGTTTAAAAATTCTATTTACCTTGTTGATTTTGAAAAATATTTCATGTTTTGATCTTTGCATAGAAGACGAATTTTACAAAGTAAAGACATATGTGGTACCTAATAAAATAAAATTAAAACAATCCTTTTCAATCTTTTCTTGATTTCATTCATAGTTTACACAGATAACTATACAATAGTCAGAGAAAGTAATCTCACCATGGATAGGAGTAATAGCATAGATAAATAAATATGTAGGGGTAATAGTGTTCTGTGATAGTAAAGCCTATAAATAGACTATAATATAGTCTATTTATAGTCTTCAGGGTTGCCAGATGACAATTTTATTTTCTCGTACCAGGGTTGCTAAATATCTCGTAATTTCAACAGATAATCTCGTAAAAGCATAAAGGGAGATGCCCATTTTCGTCCATGAAACGCCCAACAATATGCATTTGTTAAAAAAATATATATTTATTTATGGTTAATAATCGCGATATTCATTTATCCTAAAAAGATGGGAATATTTTTTTACCTTTATATTATATTTATTTTTTACCTTTATATTTTTTACCTTCATGTTTCAGTGTCAGGGGAATCCCCGTTCAATATAGCTCTTAATAAGAGAGACACACAAATATAGCAAAACATTAGTGTAATAAGGACAACAACAAAAGAATATTATGAACGGGAATTCCCCACTCAAAGTTGTCAAGTTTCATTTAGTGATGAGGTAGTGCATTTAGTGATGCGCCGAGTCGATCGTTTTGTGTCGGGTGGTTAATGATAAGAAAAAGTAAATAAATTAGCATATTTACTACTACTATTACTAAATAAACGAACTTTTTGGCTGATATAGGTATGTGAAAGAAGTCGTCATTGTTAAAATCTCGTAAAAAAGTGTACGAGATTTTTGTTAATATTGAATCTCGTACAGACGCTCTAAATCTCGTAATGGTACGAGATTTCTCGTACGTCTGGCAACCCTGATAGTCTTTACTATTCAATTCCCTATTTAATATTGTATAAGTATATATTATATACTTATACAATAAATATTAAATAGGGAAATTTCATATACAAATACATAGACTAACTATAATGTGATAAATAGATATGTACACAAACTAATAAGAGTACGATATGTATTATGTACTATTACGTTAGTACTCTTATTAGTTTGTGTGTACTATGTAGACTTTTTTATTTAACTGGCTTTACGGCTGTGGGTACTAGCCCTTCTGAGCCTATCATTTCATTCAGAATCTTCATTTTATATATTTTTTCTTCACAATATGCTGATGCGTCACATTGCGAAGTTTTTGGGAGATTTTGATGACAGCCCAAACCAGCGGACTGTTGATAACGACACCCACTCATGTTCATAAGGCGCCCAAGCGATCAAATTAACTTGAGGTTTATATCAACATCAAAGCACTTGTTTCGTCGTTTTCTCTAATAGTTCACACGTGCAGACCCATAATTCACAAAATCACATCACTTTTACGAATTAAAATCCACTTTAAACCATTATTCAAGCGACAAAACAGGAGCGACAGTGCGTCGTCGGCCAGGTTGGCGCCAAAACCTCCCGTATTTAGATTTCTTTTTCTTGTCCACAGACTATGAGACATTCGGTAGAATCCACTAGTCTGTGTAATGTGTATGAGATTCAGACTATTATGAGGATACTACGTATTTATTGTCGTTGTTGCTCTTAAGCGGGGTTTAGATTTGCTAGAACTTTTGCCAAGTTATTGCCCAAGTTCTTGCAATATACTTGTAAATAGCAATATTACTATCGCAAATTGCTTCTGCAAGTGGCCCGCAAAATAACTTGTGGAAGTACTTGGAAAAGCGTTTACACTGGGGCATTATTACAGAGGATCCAAATTCAGAGAGTTGAAATCAATAATCATGCGAAGCTGTAGAAAAATACGTACTGCTGCTATAGTAGTCTTATTTAATTAAAAGAACTCAGGTGCGAAGAACCTTTTCAGTTTAAAAATTTCATTAAAATGAAATTAAAAAAAGACGTGTGGCACTCGGGGACTGCCGCGGTAAAGCTATTGCATAGCATTTTGTATCAACTTATGCAATTATAATTATTTATTTATTTTATTTATGCAGTATTTCTTTTTCTTTGATATTAATTCAAGTTACTTAGGTTAATCCAATCAAATTCAACCAGATTTAACCGAACCCGCGTTATAACGAACTCACTATTTGTGAAAAATACTGTATCACCGGACCGCGTCGCAAAAAACTCAGGTTCGCGCAGTACATACGTCAGGGCAACTGCCTCAATGCGTGTTGACGAACTTCACATTTCTTCGAAATATATATTTTTTAATTTCTCAGACATGCGCTACCAGCATGCGACGACACGGCCCGCGCCTTGCCGCCACTTGCGTTTGCCGCGCTTTGTCTCGACACAGAGTGGCGAAATCACAGTAATATAGGTATTTTATAAACAGCACCTGTATAATATTATGAAATATGTAGATAAAACTTACCTTGATAAATGTATACCCTTTTGTTTGTAATATTTTTTTAGACCTCTCTTCAATCGTTTCTGCTTATTCCCCATGTTTTACAAACTAAACTTAAACATTAATAAAACTGTACAATTAATATAACTATAAAACACTACTATTAAACAAGAATCAGAAAAAACCTACTCCACTATTAACAAAATTAAATTTTTGCATAATATTTCTTACGATTTTACGCGAACACTACACATTGAATAAAACTATTATTTACGGATTTTATCGCGTTTAATTACTTTAATTTATTTTTATTATTATCCCGACGTTTCGGGTGCTTTACAGCGCCCATGGTCACGGGGGGGACTGAGATGTTTGACGTCCCAATGTCATAGTTAGTCCGGCTACCTTCAGTTTTTTAATATTAATTTTTGGTCCGATTTACGCAAAACGAGCTTATAGTATCATGAAGTCTTGCAGTGGTATGCTTGGGTTTGGGTTTAATTTTGTTGATTATAGGATCCCAAGCAGATGGTAGCACCCAACCATCTTCTCTATTGAAATTTGGATGTTTTTTAATTTCAATAGCCTCGCGTATCATCCTTGGTAGGAATCGGTGTTCTTTTGCGAGAATTTGTGGTTTATCAAATCTAATGTAATGGTGGGGACGATCTTGAACATGTTCGCAGACTGCAGACTTCCCGGAGCGTCGGATTTTTTTTATTCAATTAATTTTTGCAGTAATATTTTACGATTTTATTTCGTAGTGCTGAGCTCTCGCAACGTGGCGTACGTCCACCTAGCAACACGATGCGCCCCGCACTGAATTCGTGGACGAATGCGGGGGTGATATAGACGCAGTATTTAATCGGGCCGCATTTTTAATTTATTATCATAAAAATAATACATATTTCTAAAAAGTAACCAAACCAAATTATTTTATTTTGTATTGCAAAGCAGTAGATATTTTTTTTATATTCCTTTGATAAACAATGAAGGAGTAAAGTGGTTTCATCAAACAGAAAATCAAAAAAAATCAAAACACTTTATACACAAACACCGTGTCGAAGACTGAGGAAAAGAAACGACGTTAGACCATCGTTAGACAATGCACGGCCTTCAAGCCACACCTCCGTGCCCGTCGGAGAGCGTGAGGTTTTTTTCATTACGAAATTTCTGGATTTTCCCGCACTCAAGGCCCGCGATAGAAGCTATGCAATAGCTTAAAAAACGAAAGAAAAAAAAACGAAAGAACTTACAACGCTTTACAATAAATAATAAACAAAAACAATAACAGCGACCTAACAAAATTATTAACAAAATCAACAATAATTATGTAAAAACTCTCAGAGCGTGTAACTCACCAATTTGTAAAACCGGGTTATTTTTTTTTCGTTTATGGTATTTTGCTACCACTTACGCCAATGACATATCGGGCTGAAGTTAAAGCACGCAAGAAAAACGCATATCGCAACAAACTTTGTAGTCTATACCGACGGGTGTGAGTATAGATAGCGACAGTGTGTGAGCGAGAGATAAATAGAGGCGACGCCATTTTCAGTCCCATTCTTTAACCACCCGAGTAGTACGTATGATTAGTCATTTAAGGCAGGCAAAGGTCATAGACCACACATCCTGAGATTCCTGAGCCTGAGATTTATACCTATAACCATCGAAGTTCACATGTACAGACATTTAAATTATAGGATCGCACTACTTTTATGTACCAAAATTCACTCAAAGCTACAAGTTATAGTAGTACTATGTTAATAGCTATTTTTTCCTCTTGTGAACCTTAAGAATTTGAGGCACCCACTGTCATGTCTGACATCAAATTTAAATTAAAGCATTACGACCATAGAATACTATTATAGTCGTAGACAGAAAAACCTATAGACAAATTGACGCCTTCTTTTGCATTCTCATACGAAAAAGATAGATTTATGCATACGTCTTGCACAGAAATGAGACAGAGCGGTGTGATTGTTTGTCCCTTTCTCCGTGCCGGTTTTTTTATTTAGCAAACTAAACTTTGCGAAACAACTTTGACAGTTCGTAGCGATCTAAGGAGTTTACAAGTTGGTTTAAGTGAGAAAAAAGTGTTTAGTGAGCTTAAGATTGGTGAATCTTGTTCAGTTCAGTTCTTAGAACATTTAAAAACTTTATCTAAATATGTTTAAAAATCATAAAGCTTATTGTATAACCTAAAACTACGTTATCGTCCTTTCTCACTCGAGGCCACGTTAATCATTAGTCTATAGGTTTCTCTGTCTACGATTATAGTATTCTATGATTACGATGCATTAGCATATTGTCCTATATAGTCAAATTAAGTATGAAATCAGATATTTAGTTCCAGCAGTAATGCCAATGTTAGGTTGTTAGGTAAACTGGTTTGCACTGATCAGCAATCAGTGCAAACCAGTTTTGAGAAAATTGAGTAATAAGTTTTTGTACAATCATATTTAGTTTTATTACCTGTTTGATTGTACTATTTGGCATCACAAGTCATGTACAAAAAATAGCCTGTCACGATGGTTATATAGATATTATACAAGTCCCAGAAATCGATGTCAA